TGCTCTTGGCATTAGTTCTGTTTTGTGCTCCAATCAATCGCGAAATCCATACTTGTCGCCTGCAGTAGAAAGCAATTCAGAATACTTTTCAAAGCATTGCTTAAAACATAGAATTGAACACTCCGGAACGGCCGACTTCCTCACAACACTGATGAGGGCATGCGTTTGTTTTCCTGAGTTTGATTCGTGTGCTTGCGATCCCACGAGCAATTTACCTCCTACGAAATCAATCTTCGCACCCATGCGCCTAAGCAGATCGACATCGATTATAATCCCACTTACACCTTCGATCAAGAACATCTCATGGGTAATCATCACCCCGCCAATCTGTACATTAATACATTGTTTACCCAGGACTCTGAGTGGCATACCCCCAACCGCACGTACGCTCAGGTTGCATGGTCTCACCGGAACCCCTTCCATGATGGAAATCCCGGCGCCCGTATCAATAACAGCCATCTTTGACCTTCCCAAAATGAAAACCTCAAGCCTTGGAATCCCATGGGAAGTCGGATTAGAAAGAGAAAAACACGAACAAATGTGGTTGTTAGGGCAAAATCGGGCAAAATACCCGATACCGTTGCAAACGAAACAGCGTTTTGGTCGAACTTGAGTACTAAAACATCTCCTTTCTCGTGATTTGTCCTTGAGTTCCTCCTTTAGTCTTCTAATTTATTCAACTATTTGTTCAATCTTGCCTTCAGTTTCAGAAGGATCCACCCGAGCAACCGTGCATCTTGTTGATAGACTTGCGCAACTGAAGTTAGGCGGTCTGCATCATTTACCCCGCACGCGACCTCAAGTCTCAGTTTGTCTCTCATCTGTGCTGGCATGCTTTGTATGAACCGGTCTTTGGCCAGCCTCTCCCGTGTTTCATAGTTTGCCTCTGGCAGGCCCAGAGAAATTTGGCTTTTTAATTATTGGTAGTNCCAACGGATCCTCATTCCGGTTTTACTCCGCAGCGTAAAACCGGTTCATTGCCTTCTCGCGGTCATCCTCCTTTGAAAACTCTGCCACCAACGCAGCTTTCAAATTCTCATAATCCAGGACTTGGTCGCTTCCCAAATTCAAATCGTAGGCGGCCCTCGCTCGCAGTGCACCTATCGCGATGACCAGATGCGCACTTCCTTTGATGCCGTTGCATGATACGATTAATTCAAAATCGCGAATCTACTTCTCCACATCTCTGTCTGCAAACGCGTTCGGCCAAGGTACCTTCATTGCGCTGTGCTGACTTGGGTGACTGCACCAATGTAACGAGAAGCCGAGTTGACGGAAGAAGAGGCAACTTACGTACTAAGTGCGGACCAAAAACACCAGGAAGAGGCACGAATCATCCTTCCACGCGGTTAGGAATTGATTGTATGTAATCGAACGCAAAAATCAGTTGTCTTTGGAATTGAATCCATAAGCGTTTTACCAGACAACTCGACTTACCTGTCGCACAAAACCCCTCAACTGCTCACACTGTTATCATTCGCTGTGAACGTGTTACGTAACCTATGGACTGAGGTTTTCCTGCACCCATTATAATCGTTCTACTACCTACCGATTTACCGCCTGCTGTCGATTTGGTCTGTATTATGAAATGACGTGTAAGGCACACCAAAATGGACGCCAAGGTCCAAACAGCCGATTACCGGCAAGGACCGTGCTTACAAAGTACTAGGTTTCTCGATTGTCCAGCCTTTGTCGATGACGCAACACCGCGTTGATCGAGAGGAGGCATATCGAGTGATTTAAACTAATGATAACTCCACAATGCACCCAATCACCGAGGTGATTGCAATTAATCGATGGAAAACAATCTTATGTCAACATAAGGACTTGTTCATCACCCTGGCCTTGCCTAAATTAGCCTTCTTCCATCCACGTTTGTATATTTTGTAATCAACTCCCAAACCCTGCAGAAACACCTTATCTGTCTGCAGCAGGTACTAGTTAAGATGCAACGCAGCCGTCCAGAACATAAATTGTGCGATTTTGCTCCCCTGGCGTCTGTTTTAAAATTTACTACGGGAAAAGTCTATTTCACTTTCTTTAGATCCCTGGTTTAGCACATCATCATCATCATCATCATCATCATCATCATCATCATTGTACAGCGTAATACAGTGAAGCGAACTTCACTGATTGCTGCGAATTCATATTGCATACAAAGTAAGTGAGAATGTGTAAGGAGGATAGGGATTGGACTTGCTTTTAGGGACGGGAAAAAATTTCGAAACACAGTCCAACTGTGCATAAATACTACTTCAAGCATTCTGGTCTGATAAGAAGTGCTATCAAGATCGCCATTTCTGTCGGTTCGCAGCCATTACCTTCAGTGTCTCCGACCATGCGGTTACGGACTCTTGGACCCCAACCCCCGGAAGACGAGAGACACCTACTCTATCTAATCGCTCTGTGCATTTCTTCATACCCATTCTCNTCAACGTGGCTTTCTCCAGTCTGAAACAGCCACTACTAATAAAGTGCGCTGCTGTTGGCAATCGTCAGACATACGCAAAACGTGTCCTAACCAACAGAGTCTAGTGAGGCTTCGAGTTTATCACAAAGGACCAGGTATGTGTTTCTGCTCATTGATAACCTAAACAAAGGGAGAATGGATACCGATGGAAAAGTAAAACTAAACACGCTAACTGAACCGAGCAGTTTCACTGTTCGTTGAAACCAAACACCAATGGTGCACTTAGAACAAGCACTGACGGATTTGTCACTGTTGGCCACAAACAACGGAACACGCACAACGAAGCATAAGATAAACAGGATATCTGAACACTCAATAACGCTAACTCTCCCAGTAACCTAATTTGAAACACCTGAGTGGCTCACAATGGGCACCCAAGTACTATCTCTGGTATCTGGCACAAAAACAGGACGTGAGAATTGTCTTTAGTAAAACAATGAAGGACAATTTATGTAGGTGTTAGACATCATGAGCTATTTTTCTGGAATGAACTTCTTACCCTTGGTGAAATTCAGTAATAAACTCAGTCTGGACCGGGGCCAGCTGTTCGTTAGGGAGGAACTGACCGCTCTTTGGAAGCTCGCTTTATTGTTGTTGTTGTTGTTGTTTCGGAAAGCGATTAACCACCCAATGTCAAGCGATCACACAGATTATTGCAAATCCTTGGAAGTTTAATAACTTCGTTTTATCCATGTTAGGAGTTATTAGCGGTGCCGATTCGTCGAAATATTACCGACTCCATTTTGAATGTACAGAGTTCAGAGTCCCACATTTTTATGTCAGGTGACATAGGTTGGCTATGGTCACTGGTTTCAGTTCAATACCAAATAATATAAGTAGATCTTAATACCGATTTTATTCCATAAAATCCTTAATTTTTTTCGTCCTGGAATAAAGTGAGGGTGGAGTGAACTTGTGACCATTTGAGACATCTTGCAGGAAACACGAATGCTAAGCGTAGCAACGCATTTTCAATCGTTGTTCTGGGTCCAGAAGACATCTTCAACGGGTTAAGTTCACTTTTTCTGTTTAGCTAAACCACGTGCCATTGATTCAATGGTTTTGATTGAAAAAAAAACAGAGATTTCATAATTCTTGCCTCTTATGCGGAAAGAATCACGTCACAGTCTCAGTCGATGAACAACGGGGTGAACACAGTTTGGATTTCTGACTAAACGAGCCCCGTAGCCACATCCAGAAATAACCTCTGTGTGTGTGTGTGAAGTGTAAAGTTGTTCAGATTTTCCGGTAAACTAAACTGTGAGATTGAATTACCTCTATATATCGATTTCAACATAATATGACCACCAAAATTTGTGTAACATCTACAACGAAACTTGATTACGCTTAGAAAAATGAAGGAAAAATCATCAAATGAAAAACTGTGGAAATAAACCAGGAGACATTTTCTGCCGATTTAACCCCAAAGTGTATAAATTGACGACTGGCCCTAACGAGGAAGATCTCAAAGCGAGTACTCCCTGGTTTGGAGCGCGAGAGGCGCTGTGTGCAGCCCTTCCAATATGAACTAATATCTTTAAATTCCCCATATTATTATTATCTTTCGTGCGGACGGAGAATTTTCTTGTATATTACCTCAGGATATATATATATATATCATAATAAGTAGTATGTGAATGACTGGACAACATTTCCCTGGAAGCACACGACCGGTTTCGCGGTCCTTGCTGCTCGCCAGGCATGCGTATCCGGTAATCTTTTGACCGTTCATTCATATAATTGTACCTAGGAAGTATATATACATATATCACAAGGAACAACGGGAGGGGGTTGGAATACAGAACGTACGAAAAAAGACGGAACTGGTAAAATGGAAAATTACGAATAAATGGGATAGCCATTCGTTGTGTTTCAACGTACTGTTTTGAGATTTTTGTGTGTATTAGTTTATCGTTTTTCTTATGGAGTACGACACTTTAACAGGTAAACCGTACAACATTCACGACACTGACTTCTATTCTGGGCCATATCTCTTAGCGTCACTAACCAACGACAATCTTCATTCCTTGGGCCCCAACCTGGAAGGTGGGCTGCACCAATCGAAGCCAAAGGTGGGGCCAGTTTCTTCATACCTCTACACCATGCCATGATCCGACAGCTGCAGCGCTTTTTCCAGCCTTGCCCGGCACGTTCAAAGATAGCACGAAAAGGTAGTTGCTGGACAGGCATACGCAATACGTGATCTAGCCATCGGAGGCGGTGTTAGAGAGCGACTATTCACACTGAACACACGACGACGAACGTCTTCATTGCTCACCCGGTGTTCCCACTAGACGCGAGCAATGCTTCGGTGACATCGGTGATCAAATACAGAAAATCCTGAATTATCTCAAGAGAACTGCATGCTTACAATTTCAGGTATATGTATGTGTCTTAAAGGCATTTTTGTTACACAACTTCGTCAGTTTATAAATGACAAATATTGGAGTGTTTTATTTTAAAGGTTTTCTCCCCCTGGTTATTTCAGCTTTCGGTTTGAATTACCTATAAAAATTGTTTACCTTTCCAGTGAATCCGATCGATTCTATGAAATGAATTTCATTCATCGATCCAATCAACAGAAGATACATTCAACACATCCGGATATCAGAAGGGAAGTGGTTGCTTTGTTGCTTAAAGTGAGTTTGGACCAATCCAACCCCCCCGACTGACTTGTTCAACCCGATCAGCTTTCACGACAGGGGCGAGCAGATGAGTTACGTGCCTTGATCAATGAGCATGCGGCTGTGATAAAATATATCATCAATAGTACGGATAATGAAAAGCTAGCCGCACTGCACTACGCGGCTCGAAATGAGGCGATCGATTGTGTTCGTATTCTGGTTGAAGAAGGTGGGGCAGGTAGGCTGTTATTTTTGAACACTGTCTGCTCTTGAGCGTCAAATATTTTGGGCACATTTTTGAATCAGATATACGGATTTAGCTGCATTCTTGTTGAAGCGTGAGAAATTGTATGTTGAGTATTGCATCCTCAAAGATGCAAGTTGTTTTACAGTACTATCAATTTTGTTTAGGAACAGGTTTATAAGACAGCATTAATTAAGGTACTGCACATTTTAGTGCTGCTTGGAGTGTCAAAATCAGGATAGTTACGCATTTTGTATGTATCTTGAACATTATTTTCAGGAAGGAAGTTATGACCAATCAAATTTTTACGGGGAAAAACCCTGGCGGGAGTTGTATTCAATAGCTCGTACGACGAATAGCTGAGCCAATTGTTTTAAATGTTCGCTTTTTAGTTAATCGGGTACAAATTGCTACAGGTTTGTTTGGGCACCTCATAAATTAGTTTATTGCTTCATTTGAATCTGTCACTATCCTCTTCTTCCTCGTAGTTTGCTGCTGTTTTTGTTGAACCTGTTCACACTGTGAAGCGATCCCACCCTCCACCCACCCCCAATTCCACTGAATTGTCGTGAAATATTTCTGAAAATTCACCCTTCGCATAAAGCATAAAGCTTACTTTGACTTGGTCTGACCAACGCCGTCTTGGAATATCGTAGTGCTCACTAGACAACTTGTAAGCCTGTTTCCTAGCGTACTTTTCAACTTGTAGCACCAGTCAATTGTACCGAACGGATAAACGGAACGTGTAAATGGTCAAAATGAAATAGTTGTGTATAGCTAGTCTCAATTGACACATTTAACGAATTGGCATCATGCATGACCAGGTAATTTTCGTCTGGTCTGATTTTCATATTGTGTCCGTTTATGACAGCTTATCCCCTCAGTTAATCATATGGATTGGTTCGTATAAATACAAGTCCTCGCATTGTGTTAATGAATGGAGCATATAGTTTACTGCATGATTTTCTCACCAAGCATGCGATGTACATTGTATCACCATGACGTTACCCACATGGTAGATGACTGTATCTTTCGTCCTCCGAAAGCATCCGCATGATCGGAGTGAATGTCTTGCGTTGTGACTGGTCACTCTTCTCATATACCTCGCAGCATGTTCCTCTAAATGATCAAGCGTCTCAACTAGATTCTACTGAGTAAGCTATACTCATTGCCTTCTCGCGGAGCAGTGTTTTTCCACCAGAGGGAGAGGACGAAAAACCGATATCCGGGGCTATCAACGGGCTGGTGAACCACTGGCAGTTAACCTATGAGAGTTGGCTCACAATCAAGATTTCAACCCACCAAGAAGAGGCATACGAATCACACCCATCCACAAGTTCCAGACTGTAGCAGTGGTCACCGGCACCATTTGGCGTTGAGGTGTATGAGGCGCCTTGGACGTGGTGGTGGTGCATTGGTTTAGTCGCTGTCACCGGCGTGCTTTGGACCCTATGGTCCGAGGTTCGAGCCCGCCACCGTTACCCGACTTTGGTGGTAGGCAAGTCTGCTATCGTCCGGTTCGATATCACGCCTAACCTATCGGGGCCTTATGTGGTTCGTCACTCGAAGTCCCGGAACTTAGGTTCACGGTTTCCATCACTGAACAGCAGGTCCTCGTGACTATGGGGATTACCCCGTCTACTGTTCATCACACTTAGGTGTGCAATAAAAAAACTACGCCCAAAGGGCATATGATCGGCCTTCAAATGGATTGAAGACTCTGAGCTCCATCTTGCTGTCTTGCATTTATGGAGTTTTAGCCAAATGTTCCTCAGTCAGGACAACGGAAAGTACCATCTCTACACAACCTATGAAGTCATTCTACCGAAATTATTCTTGATACGTCGTGTAATAGGTTACCTGGTAAATATATGTAGATACATATGTTACTTACTCTTGTCCCACAGCTTTATGATTCGAATTGTTTTACCTGGTCAATTTTTTTGTACGTTCTCACGTTCGCGAACGACAGATGTGAATGTGAAAACGGATGAACAGTCCACGCCGTTACACTTCGCCGCTCGTTATCGTCGCCGCGCGGATAAACCGACGGTGAGTTATTTCAAGCCAATCTGCAATACTACTCTCAAATTCGAATAGAAAATACACATTGTGTGTGTTAAAAAATCCACATTTTCTCTGTCCAAGTGATAGGTTACATCAATAACTCCGTAGTAAGACTGTGCCGCATTAACTATCGGGAACCCTTCCCATAAACGTATGACACCGACTTTCATGTTACAAAATCTCTTAATGATCTGTATAGATAACCTTTGGGAAAGTTACTAAACCGTTTTGACAGTCCGCGCAAATGTATAAGCATACACGGTAAGCATTGACAATATGGGGTGGTGGTATAGTCGTTGATGTTGTTGTTGTTGGTGGTGGTGGTGGTGAAGGAGGAGGAGGAGATGGTGACAAAGCGGTTATCGCCAACCTGCTTTCCTTTCTTAGGTCCGATTTTCGAACTCTGTCAATTCCAATCACTGACTAAATTCTTTGCTGTTATATGTGGATGAATAATACACTTCTCGTTAACTCTATACATATTCTCTAAAACACTCCCTTGAAATCGTTTCGCGCTGGATATTCGGTCTACCGACCGAATATGATCCCTGGTCTAGTCTGATATCTTCCATACCTGAACGCATTTACAGTGGACGTGAAATACTCCTTAAGCCGACATTTTCTATTGGTACTCAATACTTCGTTTTACATGTTCACTTTCTAGCATAATTATGATGATATGATACATCAACTAGTACGATGCTGAAAATTCCACTTTTGCTTGGAACAAACTATTTTTGATGTTACCCGAATTACCCTCGACTTCCACATACACACACACACACACACACACGCATGCACACACACACTTCAGGGTGTATTCATTTGTTCATGAGCCCAATATTTTGCCGCTCGTGCCAAGTTGACATAATTAAAACTACGAGTCATTAGAACTGGATCGCGGTAACTGTATTTGCTAGTCTTATTTGTCTACGAATGATCCAATCAATGTGTGTGTGTGTGCATGACCACGATTTTTTTCAGACTGAATTTATCGGAGCCACACCACTACGACAACACAACCGGCGCAACGGAGCCGGTGGGAAACGCTATTCAGTCAAACCTTCGACAGAAAACGGATCACAACTATCGACTGTCTCCAAACGAGATGGTTCTCCACCACGAATTCCCCTTTTAGAATCTGAATGGTCAACCGGAACTCATAGAGGAATACCGGTGTACGACGAGGTCATACACTATCTGGCCAATCACGGAGCACAGTTGAACGGACAAGATGCGAACGGATGGACAGCTTTGCACTACGCCGCGATTCGAGGCAATGAAGTGGCAACACGTCAGCTACTACAAGAGCCGAATATTGATATTGAGGCATGTGTAGTGATTTGTATATCTTGAGTGAAGCCTGATGGGTGGTTTGTCATCTTTTCTCGGTCACAATGAAGGTTAACCTGGAAATGTTAATCGATATCGAAATATTTGGTAACCGCTCCTGATGAATATATGGATACAATAGGGTGCAACTGGACGGACTTATATGCCATTCTACTATCAAGCTAATTGCAGTTCAAGACCCCTTACTTAAGCAAACATGTTTTCGGTGGTTTCATTGTCAACCCTCAGCGCTGAACCCAATTTTATTAACTAACGTGGAGGAGGGTGAAGGGGACGAAGGTTAAACCAATCCAATCAGATTGTAATCGTCAAAGGTCCGGGAGATGAGAGAAAACGGTGATGATATAATCCACTTTCAGTCCGTGTAATATGGGAATAGTCTTGATGGTTGCCAGTGTCTGAAACCTAATGGCTCTGTGAGTGCGTAGTGAAACTCAGTAGTGGATAGAGAGTGGGTTCATTCAGAATCATTGGGCCACCTGTCTCTGATATGTGGGCGAAAATTGCATGAGGTGCATGGTCAGTGTTACGTGATTCGTTTACGATTAGACCAACATAACTATAAAAGACCCGGTATACTTGAATTTATGGATAAGCTTATCACAGAAGTCAATAAAGGCAACTTGATTTTATTCTAGCAGTGGATCACGGTGGATATGGATTTAAGTTGAACCTCACCAGCAGCGCGTTTTGGGATCAAACTACTATCTTTTACTCAGTTGTAATGTCTATAACAAATGAGAACCTGACGAATGCATTTTTGTCATTGGCCTATAGCGATTTATCTCGTTTTTTCAACAGCTCTTTCAAGCGACGACAGATACCGGTTTCCAACTATGCTTTTCTCAGCAATACCATTTCATTGTCTCTCTCGCGTCTTATATGCAGATACTTGTTAGCTCCTTCTCACTATATACATGAAGATATATATATATATATATAGCATACAACTTCATTTATGACTAATCGGCACAGTAATCTTTACATTGGTATCATAAGCAGAGGTGCTTTAAATCAGACGCAAATAGTACTGTTGCAAAACATGTTACCTAGTTTTGGTTTCGGTGTTGAGTGTGTTTTTATTTTCTGCCTAGACATACTATGGACATTAGCGCCTCTTTCTTAGCTCCCATCAATGATACGGAAGAGAGAAAACCACCGGTGAGCAACATCCAGGATGTATGCTATGATCAGCATACGATGCTCAAGTATAAGTGGGCCAGTTGGGCGTACGGCGATGACGTGATGACGCACCAATCAGATCGCGTCCGTGACACTTGGATCGGTCGATCGGAAGACAGCTGTCTGATTCGTTCTACAGTCATCCAATCCGGAATCGACTCTTCTTGGGTGTCACGAACGTGTTAGTTATATGACGCGGATTCGTGTGCGGCTTGATGGGTACTGTGAGTTCCGTCCTAACAGTGTAGTGGAGAAAGTTGATACCCTATTGCCCTTGTTTCAATCATATATCTTCTATTGGACGATGATTCGTTATACTTATTTTGATAGTTGGTGGACCATGAAGGAATGCGACCACTACATCTGGCGGTTGCTCACAACGAGACGGAAATTGTGCGTCGCCTGTTGGCTGCGAATGCTGATCCGTTCGCGGTCACTCAGCGCGGATGCTTGCCGGTAAGTGTTGTCTGTCTGTCTGTCTGTCTGTCTGTCTTTCGGTCAAATTGCCTTATGCATATCTAAAGAGTATATGAATTGCGTATCTTCATCTTGATCATATCTGCTTGTATATATCACAATCCGCAATATGCGCTTCACTCCCACGTATCCAGTCATCACCTAATATCATCTTGATCAGTTGACTAAAAGCACAGGAAAATCGCAGCAAAATCAGTGTGCACCCCCAATGGGTATCAAGTCACTAAACATGACCCCTTGCAATTCGGATGACACAATCGCACGTAATCCATATTGGATACATGTACAGTTAAGTAAGACGGTGATAAAACTACCTGCTAATAAGAACGAATGGCGAGAGGCGGAAGTGGTGTAGAACGTTCGACCATCAATAAATATAGTGAATAGAGTTTGACCGTCAGCATAGTATGTCTTGAAGAACGTTCATTGTGATAGTGAAAATAAAATTGAATAGGAGCTGGTTTTTTGATAATTCATCAACTGGCCCCTTACTATTATATGGGGCTGAGTATTCAGTATTGTTTGACCACGTACGAGGTGGGTCTTATTACCCTATGTACGAAGTGATCATGTATGAGGCAGGATGTTGATTGCGTCTCCCATTTGTTATGATGTTCTTCCAGTAACCACGACCGGCCATGGTGGTTTTTACCGCATGGACGAAACGCTTCTGGTTGCATAGTGGACGGAAGGGGTTCGAGCAGTCTGACCGAGATTGCTTTAGCCTGATGTTGCTTCAGTTACAGTAGGATAAAACGCGCAAATTCAGACGCGATAATGGGTAAAATACCATAAACGGTTTTTGAATAGGTGTTAGTACTATTCGCACCATTCTCTGTCCTCGTTTCTCCGTGTGTCAACCAACCAGGTTGGTGTTCCGTTATTGTCTTCGACAGTTAGTTGTCTTGTTTGATGGCCTATGTGGCTGGGGCCACAGAAGCAAGTCAAAAGGTACAACAAATGCACATGAAAAATGGAAACGAATTGCGGGCAATGTAGAAACATTGATACACAGTGCTACCGTGGGGAATGTTCTCCTTATCGTTTGTCTAACCTTTCTTAGGTTACCGGTTCCCATCACTGCACAAAAGGTCATCGTGACTATGAGTTTTTATCCCTTCTATTGTTTATCACACTAAAGTGTGTGTGTAATAAATAAAAAAATACCAGTTTAACTTATTGATTAACATTTAATTGGAAAACAGTATTCAACTGGGATGGATTTGGTTCGCGTCAATCAGTTGTGCGTGATTTGTGAAAACCATAGTAATCCATTTGTTGCATCACATTCGATGATAAACTCGTTCGTTTTTGATGTTGATTTTCAACTGGCGATTTTAATTTGTTCAATTCATTCAATTTACTAACGGATAGTTTGTGAGTTGATATGAAATAATACTCGAAATCAAAAGGAAACACTTGATCATTTTAACGTTATTGTCACTAATTTTGATGAGGTAATATTTAAATAAATAAAAAATGAATGACTTGTTTAAGAAACGGTATTATTGGGCACCATCCTATATAAGTTTCGGAGGTCATACATTCGAATTCCACCGGCTTGGCCGCCCATTTACGAACTTCCCTATAAAGCCTCTGTTCAATCAAAAATCACTCAGGGAAAAAAATCACCAATGCCTACGCGAAGTACACTAACACTTCATTTTGTATAGAACTATCATCTGTCTAGTTTTCTCCGTACATCGAATCGGAAGACAGCAAGTTCCGTATTTCTTGGTGTTGTTGTCAATTCCCGGAAATTGACATTGACATTGCACGTATTTACTTTGAAGTAGTTTGATTCGTTTTACCAACCCATTGTTTGCATCATTAGAACTTATAGCATTAGTGATGAGTCCTGTGTAGCGTCAGGTCACCCTTCTTGAATAAACCGAACTGTGTCCACCCCCGCCCCACTCACCCCGGTTTCAGGTTCACTTTG